CTACTTACTACAGTATAACAAAATGTATCCTTCACATAAACGCTGCCAATTCACTTGCACTTACACATTTCTGTAGTTTTATAATAAAAACTTATAATAAAAATTATAATAAAAAATTAAAATTGGAAAATAACCCATAACTCTCCCAACTCAATTAAAATTTAGACAATTTATACAAACAATTTTCACCTTAGAAAAAAATCCATAATGTAGAAGTGGCTTCCCTTTTTAGTCACCTACAGCTGGGGGAATCTGCAGGTTCCCGTCAATGCACTAGGAAGGTGATTGACTACTTTAGGGTGAGTTATTACTGTGGACATAGGAACTGAGATTTTGCCAGTTATAGGACAGTGGGTAACACTAACATAACCACTTGTTTCACTATGCTGTCAGAATGAGACTTAAGAATAATAGTGGGAAGCATATTCCAGAGATGAGGACCATAGCTTCAAAGACTTTGCATCATCGTTATGATCTTGACAAGTTAAATAAATGACCAACTCCTAACATAGTAATCAATGGGAAAAATATGGCAAAAGAAGATTGATCCACTATGCTGCTCTCTTAAGAATTATGAAAGTTTAAAAGAAATTAACAAAAACATATAACACAAGATTTTGCAACAAGGTTTAATATTTTCCTGACTTCCAAATATCTACATTTTAAAAATATTTAGAATTGTCCACCAATTAATTTTCTTTAATATTTCCTTGAATGTTATATTATTTGGTGAATATTTGCTGTTCACTGTCAATTAGGGTTACCAGATAGCAACTGTGAAAAAACGGGACAGGGGGTATGGGGTAGTAGGCGCCTATATAAGAAAAAGTCCCCAAAAACTGGACTGTCCCTTTAAAAATGGGACATCTGGTCACACTACTGTCAATGGACTATTCAATGGTAATGCAAGTTGATGAAGGAAAATGTGGGGAGCTGTTGTGCCTTATTTTGGATTAAAGCCAAATTACTAGAAGAGAAATATGGATAGTAACAACCAGTAATGGTCAAAGAAGACTTAAGCGGTGAGTATTTAGCCTCTCTGGATTCAGATATGCACAGGACAAAAGTCTGTCCTTCTCCAGATCCACCAAGATTGATATTCAGAAAAGGAAGAATGGCAAACCAAGTAAGTTACAATCCATTGGGCTGGAGACACATGGAAATATTTTGCACTTATTCTGAAGGACTTTAGCTTTTTGTTGGATTCCTAATCTTGGCAAGTAGCAAAGCTAATTGAATGGTGCTTAGAAAATCCTTTTTCTTTAGTAAAAAGTAGTCTAGAGACTTAAGCACAGTCTTTTTCAATGTCAGAGTTCATGTAAGGTATTTCATTTTGATAGAGTTCTTCTTTCTGAAACAGCTTCAGTATGGTTTGGCAGCATCAGCAAAGTGGCATTTGAAGAGATCAGAAAGAGCAAATGAATAATCACTCAAATTAGAACACTCTTGAATAATACTTTGCTTTGAAAAATTAACCTTTAATACATTTGAAAAAAAATTCAATGAAAAGTACATAGTGGCTATGAAACTACTCCCTGCTTTCTTGCATCATGGAACAATACAAGAGGGATGACTTCAAGGAACTGGTGACAGCAATTTTCAGTCTCACTATGAGGTGTTACGGAAGGTTGTAACTTAAAAGAACTACTACTATAGTAGCCATCAGCTGATGCAGTAATTTTGTACCACTTCATCTGCTCTGCATATGTAGTAACTTGTGATAGACCTATGAACCATACTCAAGTTTCAGATTTATTTGCTTGCAAAAACATATTTTAAAAGGTTGCTCATTTCTTTAACATTAGCACTGGGTAATGCCATACTGTCACAGGTTGGTGATTGTGCTGCCAAATTTTCTAGTTTTTCATAACTCCACCATAAACATTTCAAATTGCTAAAATATTTGACGTAGAAAACTGACTTCTGCCAATTTCACATAAATATTTTTCATAAAGGATTTCACTCTGTACCCTACATATGCACTTGACAGAATGTAATAGCTTCTAAAGCACCAGTTAATGCTGTTGAGTGGCTTAATCCCATTTTGTCTAAGTATGTATTTTCATGACTGATTATAATGGCACAAAAGCAATGATGATTTATCAGTTATATAATAAACATGTTTAAAATTGTTTATGTAACTCTATGATAAACCTGACAGGAATATCATGCCAATGTCTGCACACATTCCAGATTTCATTTCCATTTACTTATTAACATGAAAAGCAAAGAAAATGAACTACAAAGGGGCAGATCCTCAGCTTGTGTAAATTGTCAGATGGGCCTATGGTATTTTACATCAGTTGAGGATTGGCACCAAAAAGTCTAAGGTACCTTTAAAAAACTAACTCAGACCCTGGTTCTGTAAACATACTCTCATTGAATTAAACATGGTACCTAAAATTGATAAATCTAAGAAATACAATGAGGTTAATAAAGATCTGCTGTGTTGTGCTTATATAGCGCAGTATATAAGGTACTGTCTGTTAAATGCCCAGTGTGAAGATTTCTGAAATACCCAGAAATGAGCAATGAAATAAGAAGTTGTGCATTTCCTGGCTTTTGTCTGTAACCTAGATTCTTAACATTATTTTAACATATGGGGATGAATGGGGTCGCACCTAATTGCTTTACCACTATGCACCCTCCCTACTTGAAAACCTGATCATAGGAAGGATATGTCTCTCCTTTTATTCAGAGAAGACCAAACAGCATATACTCCTGGGGGAGTTTTGCACCACTGTGCAATGCAGAATTTTGCAGAAATTAATGTTGTGCATACAGAATTTCCTTTTCGTCCCACAGAAATGGGCTGCAGAGATGTTCGCTGCCACTAGGGACACTGGACCCAGCAGAGCCCAGCTCGCAAATAGAAGACAAGGCTCGGGGAGAGAATTAGAGAGTTCCCAGCAACTGCAGTTCCCAGCATGTCCTGAAAGAATGAGGTGGTGGCATGCAGGAAACTCCATGCAAGCCCAGGACCCAGCATCCCTCTGGATCCCTGGCCTCTAGGGAGAAGAGGGTGTGAGTGTCTGGGCTGAGGGGGGCTGCGGCTGGGCTCTGCGGGGGGTAGGGGTGTGAGTGTTTGGCTGTGACTGGGCTCTCAGGGGATAGGGGGTGTGAGTATCTGGGCTGGGGGGGGCCATGGATGAGCTCTGGGGAGTTGGGGGTGTGAGTGTCTGGCCTCCTGGCTGGGAGGCGTGTGGTGTCTGGACCCCCAGCTGGTCTCAAGGTGGGGAGGGGGAAGAGAAACAGGAACTGGGTTGTCACAGGGGTTTCTTTAACTCTCTACCCCTCAGGAAATTTTAAATAAATTACCAAAATAATTGAAACTGGTGTGATTATATAGTGGTATTTTGACAAATAACATTTGCAGAATTTTAAAATCTTGTGCGCAGATTTTTTTTATTTTTTGGCACAGAATTCCCCCAGGCATAAGCATAGAATTGGTATATGGGAGTGCAGGGATAGATGCAGTGGCTACACCACACACTCCCATCTTTACATCAAACCTTTGAAAGTTCATATGTGCTCCCTGCAGTTAAGGCTTCTTTGATTGGGACAGGAGTGTAAATTCCCTTTGGGAGCTGGTGTATTTTTGAGTGGATGTCGATGGGGAGAAGGGGGGAATTAGGTACTTCTGTGAAGCTCTGTACTTTGCCCTCTCAATGGTGTAGGGCAAGTGATTCCTTAGGAAGCTATGCATCCAGATTATAATAGGAGGTCAGGCTTCACCGTACATAATAGCTTCATCATAAGTTGGAGCTTTTGTTCTCTCTTGATACCTGGTATTCACAGAAGGGAGAAATCACACCAAGCCTTTACCACCACCCCAAAGAGTGGTATTTATGAGAAATGCCATTATTTATCTGCGTTCTCTGACCCTCCATCCCCCACTGGTTTTATCAGCAGATGGTATGATATAGCTTCAACACAATTGTACAATATGATCCTAGCAAAACCTATTTTCTTGGTCAAAGATGTTCAAACTGTCAGCTCTATATAGTTGTAGATAGACATATGACGTATGAAAGAAAAATTAGCTGGCGATTTAAATATACTTAAAACACATCAAGAAGTAAATCCATAATACTTTTGCACATTGCAGATAGACAACACAGAAAGAAATTTTCCATTGTAGCCTGCTATTCTGAATTATGCTATTTTCTTTCACAAACACCTTGAATTTGAATACATACACACACAGAAACTTGCCCAGCAGAAAGGGAAAGTTAATCTGTGCAGGAAAAAGAGCTTTCTTAGGGGTTTGTCCAGGACTATGGAACAAGCTTGCACAGGATCTAAGAGCCACCTGAAGCATTGCCACATTCCATACCAAGTGTGAGGTGCACTTTCTGGACATTGCTTTCAATAATACAAGCACATAGCACAACTGGTATAAAATAAATGAATACATAATATATATTAAAAATAAAATAGAATAGAATAAAACAATCCTCCCCTAATTATCTCTTTGGAGAGAGAAAAAGGGAGGAAGGGAGGGAAAGAGACACATGTGACAAATGCCTATCACTTACTGTTTACTGCATTTCTGGAAGGTGTTCAGATGTTACGGTTGTATGAGTGGTATAAATACCTACACAGAACATTTTCTTTTTGGACTTTACAGCCTTATTAAACATCCTGTAAGTCTTACTGTAAACTTGGCTACTTTTATATTCTCTGTCAAGTATACTAAAACAGTGAATAGGTCATAATCTGAGAACTGAATGAAAATGCCTTTTTAAATAAGAGACAGAGGTATGAAATAAATGGCAGCCAACCACCAAAACTAATCCCAAATAAATTCAATAATTTAACTTTAGTTCAGTTGAAAATACCATTTTGACAGTGTAAAGTACTTGATGTAATCTAATTCAATAATAAGGCATTATAAGGAATAATTTCTGATTTACAAGAACCCATGTCCTATCTCCTTTGATCATAATCATCTCATTCACTCGCATGGCAAAACAGTGATAAAATATAATACAACTTACGCAAATTATTTGCAGGTGGCCTTGCCTCCATGTTTTCATAATGTTGCACATGAACTACAATGTTTAGGTCTCTTTCCATGTGATCTGTTGTGCAAGGACCCTGAGGTCGCATAACATCAGCAAGAGCCCTAAAGAACAAAAATTAACTTAATTAGAATAAATCTGCTGCAAAATCTATAATGCAGTTGCAATGTACTCTGGTCTTTTTAGTTCTCGATATTGTACATTACAACATATGTACTGCAGAGTCACAGTTTAATAGGGGCCTGAGCCTGCTCCCATTGACATCAAAGAGAGTTTTGACACTGACTTCAGTAGGAGCAGGACTGGCACTAGGTATATACTCTATAAGTACCTGATCCATTACTGTGCCATAGAAAATAATTGGCCCCCTGCAAAAGCCCTGGCCTTAGGCAAAGGAATGATATGGCATGTGTTATTAATGTCTTCAGGGTTCAGTGCAAGTGTTTTCAGTTCTGTACCTCACTGACCATTGTTTGTCTCCTTTGTCACCAGATTTGGACCATTTAATCAATTTTTAAAGAGAATGGATGTTTTTGCTAGGCACTATGCCCAGTTTAGTTTAATTTTGTGTAAAATTACATACAGTATCCTAGATACTGCATCTGGTTTATAAATTAATAAATAAATACATTCACTATGAAAGTCGAGGCAAATACAGTACAGCTCTTCCACTGAACCAGTGTGACAGGAGTTATTTTCCTAGTTATGTGCTATATTGAAATATTGAACAGTAACTCCATATAAATGTGTGGGTTACAGATAGATAAATCTTGAGCTAGATCTTGCTCTCAAAATGCAGATAGAAACTTTGGTGCACATAAGATAAACAATGATATGTTCCCTCATGTTTGTGGAAATGTTTATGCTATTAGAATGTGAGGTACAATTCTGATTGTGTTACACCTGATGATACTGTAAAAAGTTAGAAGAAGGTAACCAAAATTATTTAAAGTACCGAAGCAACATTTCAATATGAAGCAATATTTATACAGCAAGAGTAGCAGAGCTGGCTTACATAGCTGAGAAAAAGGCCACTAGCAGAGATCTCATAGGGGTATGTACAATATGATCCTGAAAGGAAAGGATTATATCACAAACCACAGTTTGAAAACAAGTTATGCCCGGAAGCTGGGAGAGCACTCCTATCTAATGAATGTATGCAGAACTTGTTTATACAAAACAAATTGTTTATGTCAGCATTATAGATTTAATTCAAGAGGCAGCTGGACACATTTTTGGAAAAAGAAGAAAAGCAAATGACAGATCCCACCTTCATTCTGGGAGTTAAAATGGTGTAATCTCATAATGCAGAGATTAGTATTTCCCAAGTCTAGGAGACCAGACTTTTAGAGATGGCCTTTTCGTTGCCTTTAATGTTACTGTAAATATTATTCATTATATACTCTAAATAACATCCCACATACTACCAGATTAACTGTTCCCTGTGTTTGAAAATACCAATGAAGTCTTCACCATTTCAAAAGGGGTTCAGGGTGTTAGGTATCCAACTCCTATTATTTTAAATTGCTTTTAAAATCCAAACCTTAGAAAACCTGGGCACATTTTGATTGTCTAATACTAATTCAAAAGTATGTGCTTGTTTGCTAATTACTGAATATTCAACCAGGCATTAAGAATGCCAAAAGCCAGGATAAAAGAAAGAAACCTCTTGATCTGCAGGGTGTCTTTTGTTGTTTTTTTAACAAAACATTACCTCAATTTATATTGTAGTAAACGAGTAAAGGGCCTGATCTTTCAAGGAGCTGAACATCTCATGCAAGATGCTGCACACTCTTATCTGTCATTTACATCAATGAAAATTAAGAATGCTCAGCACTTCATAGAACCCCCCCAAAAAAGATATATATAATGTATATAGGGTGACCAGATGTCCTGATTTTATAGGGACAGTCCCAATTTTGGGGTCTTTTTCTTATATAGACTCCTATTACCCCCTACCCCCATCCCGATTTTTCACACTTGCTGTCTTGTCACCCTATATATATAGGAGACCAAACATAGATGACATATTATTGTCTTAATTAATATTACAGATTAAGAGTCACATTCTACCCTTTTGAGGATTTGCTCATGTAATTTTAAATGTTAGTGGATGTTTATGTACCACAATGAGAACATAAAGTACTTGGTATAGGGTACTTGTTTTTCTGAAACTGTATGTAGATACAACAGGTTGTTGGGTAGGGCTTCTCCCTCCATGCATTTGGCTAACCTGAGTAAATACGACCATGTCTTTACTCTTTACCCATATATAGTTTTTCACTTGCTGACTTTGCTTCTGTATTGTACCTCTGTCGAGGTACAATACAGAATGGTAGAATGGTACTATCTTATAAATATCTGAAGAAGGTGTCATTAAAGTTCTCATTGGGAAATTAAATAAATAAGAGACTTATATTGGCACTATACATATACATATACATTCTTAATGAATTTAAGAAAATGCATACTACAGGATGAGATAATCTTCAAATCAGAGATGTTGTCTGTTCCCTACACTGATAATGATGGAAATCATACATATATGGAGCAATGTCTTCGACCTATGAGATCAGCCCAAAGCTATTAAAAAGTGTCACAAATCTTCAGGATATCTCTTATTGTAATATTTTGCTCTCTGGATCTATAATGCTGTTTTAAGAAGTTATAAAGCATATCTAGCCAGGCAATTCCCTTATGGCTACAAGCTTGAAGAGGTTCATACAGATGTAATTTCATGAAAGGTTAGTTGTCAGTTTTTTTGGTTCCAAAAGTGGGTCAAAGCCAATCTGGGAAATAATTTCACACAAAGGATTTCAGCATTTTGGCAATCCAGACTATTTTTGTCCCCAAGCACACTCCTTTTGGAAAATCAGCACATTCTGGAGGGTGGGAAAATTCAGGTGGTTCATAAGATATACAGGAGGCAGCTTTCAGGTGGGTTCATAAGATATTTGGGAGGCTGCTTTCAAACTATCACAAACATTTAAGTTATAACAAAAACAGGAGCTATAACAGTGCAGATCTGATTGCAGACTTTGGCCTTTAGGCCCTTTACTGCTCTTGATTTATGTGCACATCTCCCATGTGAAGTGGGGCAGTATATGATGCTGCATTTTTATTTACAAAAAAATTCCTTCTGTGGAGGAGAGGTAAAGTCTATTGGAAACTCTGCAAGGATCACTTTTGGGGGTTCCTTTCCTATTCACCCCTCAAGGGAGATGTTTCTCTACTTGAACTGGCAGTAAAAGGATGCGACTTTGCAGCCCAGAAATCCTGTTGAGCCTAGTGCTCTGATGAACACCAACTGCATCCTAGGGCAACAACTTGGGGAGACAGAAACCTCTCCACTGCTACCCAGCTTCCCCATCTCACCTGGCAACATAGCTCCCTCAGAAGGGAGGATACCCTACCATAAGTCTTCCCACCACCACCACATCTACCTGCACCTTACTTCCTTTCATAGGAGATCGAAGATTCAGAGGGAGAATTAATGCTCTCTTGGACACTTTATTCCTTTCTTAGACACTAGTTCTCTTTCTTTGCCTATGGATAAAGAAAACACTTTAATTCTCTTAACTTTGAACAAATTTACCTAAAGAAGACCAAGAGGTAGCATTAGGAATTAGGAATACACAATACTTTAGAATCCCATGGGAAGCATATCATGAGTGATCCTTCTCCCCCTCCCCTTATCTTCTTCCACTTTCACCCAACACCACAATCTAAAGAGACTAATATATTAAAATGTAACAAGGGTCACACTTTGCCTTGTTTGTCTAAACTACAGGAACTACCCAGCATCCCTAAAAAGGTATGAATTAGTTTGATGGTTTTCACTGAATAAATCTGCTTACCATGTTAATGTTTTTTCTGCATTTTAACTGACAAATAATCTATAAAACTTCAAAATGGCCATTTAATGTCAAAACAAATGTCTTCATATAGCAGCAAGCAGAGTGCAGTGTATGGTAAAAGAAACCATATCTGATCATTCTAATAGCCAGGTTGTGACACCCTTGTTCACATAAGTACCTTACTTGGCTAGCAGATCTATGGACTGTCTGCATAAAGAAGTACTCCACAAGATGAGTAAGAATGACACAGTCTAGCCCTAAATTAGACAACATTCTTATTCCCTACATGCATATACAAAATTTCAGATTAAAAGTAGCTTTCAGCAATGTAATGTGATTAAAAATAAAGCTTTGCATGTTTTGGTCATTAGTAATAAAATAGGCACACCAGTATATTGTGTATTATATTTCCGATAAGTAATATCACTCTTTCTTTAAGTGAATTTGTTTGTAAAGTTAAAAGGATTCAAGTGTTTCAGGCATCCATTAGCTAGTTAAGGAAGCTAAAGCAATAGTGTCCCTCCTTGTTAGCGATATTCTCAGCCTGGCCTGGGAGATGAGACATTGTCAAATGAGGGAATAAAAAGGCAAATCAGCTTCTGTGTTCTTCTCACTACCAGCCAAAATAGATAGCACTGGAAACCAAGCAAACTACTTTAATGAAAAATAGTAAAATCTTTAACCAGGATTTCTAATATCAAGTCCATCATTTCAACATGGCCTAACTGACTCACTCATGACTAGGGCTTTATAATTTATATGATTTAAAAAATGAGATTGCATGTAGGCAGAGCATAGGAAGCCATGTTCATTTCTTATAGACCTCGTGGGGATTGGTGCCATATAAGAAGGTAGTTATCTAGATAGGATATATAGTGTCTTACTTACTAGTACTATGAAATGTTTTTTAGCAAGTACTTATGTTTACATCGTAAAACTTAGTGCAGAGCTCTGCCCCCCTTCTTTCTCCCCCAGAACCCTGAAACAAGCCAGGATATGGTGCTTTGGTTAAACAGGTTGAGGACAAGGAGATTGCCGTTCATTTTAAAGGGAACCCTTAGGCAGCCTCTGAAAATCTCAGCTACTGTGTGAAAAATTAAATTAAGCATCCAAATTCCCTAGATGGTTATAAAAATCCCACCATGTATGTTTGTGATGAGAACTTTTGAAAAAGTTGTAGCAATTTCCTAACAGCTGTGGAATATCCATTGTGTGTACTGAGTGGGCGTCTGTTTATCATCCTGACTCTTGTAGGTTCCTACAACCTCTGAAATAATCCTACCTTAAGAGATCTATGAATAAAAAAGTACATGAGTTTGAACAATATTAACTAATCAGGACAACAGCTGTCCTTTCTGAGCCCCACTTCAGCAATCTAATCTATATACAGGTCTGAAGGGGCTTAGAATGATATTCCATCCCCTATAATTCTGTATCCATAGGCTTAGGGATAGAAATATCATTTCAGAACCCTTCATACCTTTATCTGATAGAGAGAAAATAGATATATCCTTTTAGAGGTTTTTTAAACCAAATATTTCTACTACTGGAAATGTGACTGACTGATCTAACCAGAGCTGAACAGAGATGGATGCACTGTTTTCACCTTCTCTCTGTCATGTGTTTGGTTGTTTGGTTTTTTTTGCAAATGAAGTGTCTAAACTCACCTGCTGTTTTACCTGCATGTAAACACTACAGAAATGGAATGAGGCAGATGGGAATAAAGCTATTTTACCAAAGCTTTGGCTAACAGATACAGGGTAGGGTTTATAATTTTTTTCAGGATTCATGTATTCTTTTTATCAATTTAGTGGGTCAGGATTCTCAAAATGTCTTACTATTTATACCCTGCTTAACAAAGACAGTCTCCCCAGAATTACCACAGACTCATAGTGTTGAGTTGACTAAAAATTCTATGGTCTGTTTTGTTCCTCAGTAGTAAAGATGAATCCATATCAGCCAGTATATAAATAGCAAATAATTGCTAGTGAACTGGTGATGCATTCGCAGCACTATTTTTGGTGGCTTCTCTGTTCATTTCAGGGGAGGCTGTTAATCACAAAGCAATACAGAAACTTGGACAAGAAATAAGGCTCCAGGTGTTGTCGATCTCTTGAACTATCTTTCCGAGGGTGACTCCTGAGCCAAGCTTTAAAGCTCTGACTGTGAATTACTCCATTTCTATTGACCACCAGTCAGGGAGATAGAAAACCTTCTGCCATGCTGCATGTCCGCTAGAAGGTGTCCTTGCAATTGTATTTCATTTCCAAAGTTGACCAAGATGCTGGAATCAATTTAGACTCTTTAATGGCGCTATATGCCTTTTTAAAAAAAAATCTGCAAATGTCTTTCCCCATCTGTTTTACTTTCCTGTGTCTGGGATTAGCATAATGAATCAGACAGACTGAAAACTGGACAAATATGTTATCCCTTGATTCTGAAGTGCTGTGACAATCTGGGTGCTGGAGTATGATGTTAAAGCAATTGGGCTGTGTCCTGAGCTGCCCACCTGCCTACCCACCAGCAGGCAGCCAGTCCCTGGAGCAGGCAAGTACACAGCATGCCTCACTCTAGGTAGGGGAGGTTCTCTTTGATGTAACCCAGCCATTGCATTGTGGACACACAGAGTGTAACACACACACAACAAAGACTTTTATGTTCCATATTTGGTTACATTTTGCCTCTGTAGCAACTGGGGGGGACAGGCTTGATATGCAGGCAGCTTGGTTACATTAAACGTTAGAATCCTTCTACAATAGGTCCCTTTTGGTCTCTCCCTCGCTACCCCCCAACCTCATTTTCAGGACAAAGAGCTCTCACACTTTCAGGGGGTGGGGGAGGGGGAGGGAAAGTCCTGTCAACACCATTTTGCAGTGGGAGAGGGAGGGAGGGATGGATGGGATTTGTTTACATCCTTCTGTTGAGAGATAAAAACCTTGTCGGGGCTTGTCGGGGGAACCCAGCAGCCCCCCTTGAGGCTGATTCAAACCCCGCATTTGTGGCTGGACTTGGGCTTTTTTGGTTTGAGACAATATTTCCAAGAACAGTTATTGGCTCTTGTCGGGGAGAGGGGCGAACACTGCAGGTTAAAAACGGGTTAGTGGCTGGGCAGTTTCGGCAATGCTGGCTGGTGCGCCTGGCCGTGTGAGTCAGAAGCCGGGTCTGGGGGGCAGCCCTGGAGCCCTGCTCTCCAAAGTTGGTCTGTCTAGTCTGTCCCTGCGGCGGAGCCTGGCTGGCGGGAGTTGTTTGCTTAGCAGGAACACATGGGCTCCGGTATAGTCTCCGGGTGGGGGGAGGGGTCCCCGCTGCCTGGCGCGGCGCCTTACCTGGACATGTGCTCCCGCTGCGGTCTGTGCGCCTTCTCCAGCCCCAGCTTGGTGAAGATCCCCACCAGCACCATGACCGCCACCACCCCGCAGATGATGTAGACGATGAGGTTGGTTTTATCCCTGGTGGGGTCGTGCAGGGGGTCGTCGATGCGGGCAGGAGGCTTCCCCGTGTTCATCCACACCGGCGTCTCGTAGTTCGTGCAGGTGCTTTGATCCAGCCGGGTCCTCTTGAACTTGCAGCAGAACCTGAAGCCACAAGTGCCGCAGCAGAAGACGAACTCCCCCGAGCTGCAGTTGAACGGCGGGTCCCACTGGCCCATCACGTCGAAGTAGCCCCGGCAGAAGTCCGGGGTCGGGGGCGGCTCCGAGGCGTCTCCGTGCTCCCCAAGGCTGGAGTGGTTCCCCCCGGAGAGCACCACGATGCTGCCCAGGTGCTGCCCGGCTTTCTCCTGCGCCCGGCACACCAGCGTGAGCAGGTCCGCCACCAAGCATCCGAGGGCCAGCCGGAGGAAGCCCTTCATCCTGCCTCCCAGCCCGGCCGCTGCGATGCCGCCGCCGCCGCCTCTCGAGCTGCTGGCTGCTGCGCTGCGCCAGGAGCCGAACATACAGGGGCTCGGGCGGGGGGCCACGCGCTCGCTCAGCCCGCTCGCGCCTGCAGCAGCCTGGTCCGCGCGGGCAGGGGCAGGGGCAGGAGCTGGGCGCCGAGCCGCCCCCTGCCTGGCGGGCTCCCCAGCCCCGGCAGCTCCCAGCGAGCGGAGCGAAGTGAGCGGCACTTGTGGAATCGAGAGTGGAGCGTGCGGGAGAAGGGGAGCGAGGAGGAGGAGGAGTGGAGCGGGGTGGAGGGGGCAGGGGGAGTGAGGGGGCAGAGATGAGAGGAGGGCTGGGGGGAAGGAGCGGTGGGGCTGGGGAGAGCGGGCGGGGTGAGGTGCGGGCTCCGCAGAGCAGGGGAGAAGCGGGCGCCGGGAGAAGCTCCTCGCGTAGCCTTGTGAAATCTGCAGGCACCGGGGAAACCCCCCTTCCCGCGCCCTGTGAGAAAGCCCGGCCCGTCCTACGAGAAAACTCTCTCCCTCAGAAGAGGAGCCCATGGAGCCCCACCTGAGACGAGGGGCTGGTGCATCCTGACAGCGTCCGCGAGAGAGCGCGGGGTGCACGGGCTCCCTGCAGCAGCCAGCTGACGGGCAAGCGCTGTCACCAAGGGGAAAATCCGATTTGGTGGGCAGTGTGGGTATGAGCGAGGGAGATGCGGATTTGGAAAGCTAAAGCCGTCTAGCGAGGCGCCTGCATGAGCCCCGGCGACGCCTCCTCGGCTGACAGTACCAACAAGCACAGCCAGAGCAGCCCCCTTCAGCTGTAGCTGCCCACTGCTCCCAGTCATTCGGTTATATAACATGGGCCTCCGCGAGGAGGGTGTTTCACACACGAGCCAAGGTGCAATAGCTGCTCCTCCCCCCCCCTCCCTTCCGAAGCCCTGACCTGTACATTGCGGCCAATTTCTCCCCGGCCCACTCCCAGCCCCCAACTGGCCCGTTGTGAGAGAGGAGCTGCCCGCCGCCTGGGGAGAGAGCGTGCCAGTGGGGATGAAAGGGACAATCAGACACATGGCTCAGCCCTTCTGGAAATAAGAGATAAGAGGGACTGAGAAATGCTAGAGGCAGATGTCTGGGACGAGGCTGGAAACCTCGCTGAGGTGATACCCCCGATGCATTTCTTCAGGAGAGCCCAGAGAGTCACGTGGGAGACGAACAACGACCTTTGCACCAGTTTGCAATGACTTTGCTTTTACTCCGCACCTTTGGATTCTGACCTCACGTCCCTCAAAATGGGGGCAGGATTTGAACATATACGGGAATTATATGGTACTTGGAGGGCGGGGAGAGAGGCTGCCACTTTCCTGATACTTGAAGAGAACAGTTTACTATGTAAAACCCTTCTTACACCCTAATCCTCTTTTATCAGTCTCTTAAGATTCACTTACCTATATAACGAATGCAATAGAGGCCAGAACAATTCTAAACGTGTGTGTATGAGACTATGGCTATTACATGGCAGGGAGTGTAAAGATGGTGCACTAGTTCTAGCCAATGCTATGGAATGATCCTACATTCTTGTCTTTCATACCTGAACTCCCGTGTATCAGCTATTTAAGAAAGCACTTTATCAGCCAGTAAGGCTGGCTCCAGAGGACATCCTTATACCGCCGGCTATCAGATGTACAATTAAAATAACTTCCCTCCCAACGCGCCTTTGATCCTAGGAAAGACTTCTCAATGATTCACTCCATCCTGGTTACTCTACTTTCTCATCTTCACCACTTGGTTGGAAATCACCCACAGAAATAGTGAGAACATTTTCCTGAATACCATGCTGCCACCAAATGCTAGGAGAAGTCCATTAAAGTGTGGCTTAGCAGACTGTGGGCTGTGTTTTAAAGCAGCTTCCCATCTCCTCTTCCTATATCTCAGATTGCCTCACCAGGGCCTCTTTGCTGTTATCTCTAAGGAAGAGAGGCTTGCTGATGGGGCTCTGAAGCCGCATGTGCAGGGTGGCAGGTTACAATTTGGTGGTGGTTCTTCCCCATCTTTGCGAGAGGGCTGGATTGCCGATGTATTTCCAGCGCTTCAGCCAACTTCCTATGGGAATTGTTAAGAGTCAGTAAATAAGCAGAAAGGTGAATCAGAGGACAAAGCAGACGTTTGGAATCGGAGAGGGCTGTAGTTAGCTAATTGCGATCCTTTGCCATCCCTTAAAAATAGACTCTAAGTACAGTGAGTCTACTGAGCGTTTTGACAGGAAGCCTGGCATCCCTGGCCAATGGGTAGGAAATAAAGCCGTGAAATTCCACAGCAGAGGAAAACAATCAGTTCCATTCAAATCCAGCTTTCCTTGGTGTTAATATTTAATTCCTAAAACCTCCATCTTCATCTCCCTCTCTTTTCAAATCTCATCAGCAATCATCTCTCTCCTTCCTTGCCTATATTTCTCTCTGTTATTTATTATTTAACTCTGTAAAGCACTTTGTGGTACAGTTTGTACTGAGGATGCTGAACAAAATGAAACTGTACCATATTTATAATCACATACAGAGATATAGGTCCCAGGCCTGCCAAGCACTTGAGAAGGTGTGTCACTTTGCAAACCTGAGTGGTCCCATGGATTTTACTTGTTAGGCAGGTGCTAAAGTGCGCTGCAGGATTGGGGCCATAAATATATAGATATAATAAAATTATAAATTAAATACAAATCTGGGCTGTTAACACTAATTTAGTTGAACCAGAGATAACAATGGAAAGATTTCTTAAATTCTAATAAAGGCAAAACCTGAAGGATTAAAGCTAGATTCTAATCTCAGTTACACCAGGAACTCCACTTACTTCACTGAAATGAGATCAGAATCGGTCCCTAAGTGATTTGCCCCCACGGAGTAGCACTGGGAAACACAAGGCATAATTCAAAGCTCATTGAAACCAACAGAAACACTCTCACTGACTTAAGCAGGGGTTTGGACCAGACCTATAACTCTTTCATTTGAAGTCCCTACTCCAATTACACTCTCTGCCTTATTTTATTTTATTTTATTTTATTTTATTTTATTTTATTTTATTTTTGTATTGCCATAGCACTTAGGAGCCCTAGTCATGGACCAGGACCCTATGGTACTAGGCCCTCTACAATTTATTTTTAAATGACTTCAATTACAAAATATAGTTATTTAAAAGAATTGTAAATCATCAAAATGTGAAATCATTAAGTATAATAAATATTACAAAAGAAACAAGAAATTACTGTAGTTTACCCTTATTTCAGACACAGATTTCTCATTGAAAGCGATGGAAGTTTGCACAATGATGGGGTAAAATATGGCCCATTATGTGACAAAGGAAGTATTGCTCAACATTTAGGGCTTAGTCCAAAACCCACTGAAGTCAGGGAATAGATTTCCATTTACTTCAATGGATTTTGGATCAGATTGTTAGACTTTTACAGTTTTAAGCTATGGTCTATCATTTTACTTGCTTCCAAAACAGTTGAAAACTTGCAGCCTTTCACGATAATTATTTTCCCAACTCATACCTATGGGGTCACTCTGCTGCCCTTACTCAGGCAAATAGTCCTTAGCCATATGAGTAGTCCATTGCAGGATCAGGCTTTACATAGGGTCAAATCCTACTATGACTTCCTCTCCTCTTCTCCCCCCCTCCTTCCCCAGTACTCCCATTGATTTCACTGAGATTTTCAGATGTGAATCAATGATAGGATGTAGCCCAAATTTGTTAAAATAACAGGCTTCTTGCTGGGAAGTCCTGTATCAGTAAAAAGCCAGCTCTCAATGAGAGTTAGCTAAACAATTCAAACATCATTAGTAGCAGTAGCATTTCAGTATCACCTAGCTCCAATCAGAGTCCTGTTGTTCTAGGCACTGTACAAACAATTAATAAATGGTGTAGATGTTAAAACCATGATCACAATCTATAAAAATGTTATGAAGTTTGTTAGTAGAGTCATGTTCTTTACATCAGCAACACATAGTTTCCACCAAGTTACCACCAGACACTATAGTGATGGACACTTCATATATTTATCTAATAAAAATATTACTAGAATTGTTCCTGGCAGGCATCCTTATCAGTCCCAGCAGTCAAACTAAGGATTACATGGGCATGGAAACAGGATGACTTTCTCACCATTAAACGTGGTCTGTCTGCATCAAGGTTGAGCCAAGTTGGTGAGGCATTGAGGAAGTTTGCCATACCACTGCCCATGCTGTGCTTGTTTTATGGCTAAACAGACTTTGGTCTCTAAGTGCATCAGGCAGCACCATTCATTAAACATGTAAAATAATTTAGTTCGTAACACTATGTGTATAATATGTTGTTTTAGTATTGTATTTAGCTATCTAAGGTGTCATAAACAGATAGTTAAGAGTTAATGCCTCTTTTACCTGTAAAGGGTTAAGAAGTTCACCTAGCCTAGCTGACACCTGACCAGAGGAACCAATGGGAGGACAAGATGGTTCAAAATGAAGGAGGGAAGTTCCCTTTGTCTGGGTCAGTTTCACTTTTGACCAGAGGGAAAAGCTCCAGAATTCAGCCTCTTATCAAGTAGTGAGTATTAGTGAAGGAAATAAATAGGTTTATGTATATTTCTTTGTAACCTGTCTTGTGCAATTAGAGGAATAATCAAATTGGGTATTTGGGTATTTTTTGTGTAACTAAGTTTTTGCCCAGGGGAACATCCTCTGGGTTTGGAATCTGTTGTCTGTGAGAGTAGCTGGTATGCTAATCTCTCCTAGAGGGTTTTCTTTTACCTTTCTTTTCTTTAATTAAAAGCCTTTTTTTATACCAGATTGATTTTTTCCTTGTTTTTAGATCCAAAGGGGTTGGAGCTGGATCCACCAGGAGTTGGTGGGAGAAAGGAGGGGGGATGGTTAATTTCTCCTTGTTTTAAGATCCAAGGGGTTTGGATCTGTATTCACCAGGAAATTGGTGAAGTCTCTCAAAGCTACCGCGGGAAGGGAAGTAGTACTAGGGAGTGGTGGCAGCCAGACCAGATCTAAGCTATTAATTGAGCTTAGAGCTTCTCATGCAGGTCCCGCACATCTGTACCCTAAAGTTCAGAGTGGGGAAGAAACCTTGACATAAGGTATTAGAGCTAATCACTACAGCATCTCTTTATTGACAACGAGGAAGTAAGGTTAACAACCTTCAAGCAAGGTTGAAAATCAAGCAAGAAATAATAATTATGAATTAAACTGAATGTTGAGAGCATTTTGATAGGCAAGTCTATCTAGCGATGCTGTGTACAAA